TCACTTGTATAGTGCAGTCACCCTTTGAAATGCGTTTTCCTGAGAGTGACCCCTAGATAAAGTTCTTTCCAGCTGAGAGCAAGGAGACATGGAATCTGTTGTCGGAAGGAGACTTCATGCTGTTTCTTTTCACCTGTGTATGTTCAAATGCAGATTTTCTTAGTTTTCTTTCTTCCTCCTCTCACTGTCTGAGGATTCTGTCTACTGCTTATATGCAAATTGAGGTAAACACACACCCATTTGTTTAAGACAGACCTGCTTGACCAGTTCAACCATATCAGGGCTATGTCAGTTTGAATATGTGCCTTTAACATTATACAGCGGGATTTCGTAACTTTACACATAATGTTTCTACATAGGTTTCAACATGATATTATTGACCAGTGAGCTATTGGTTTTCAAATGATACCTCACAAACTATATTTTGTACAACGATTATTACAGTAGTATTTAGAATGTGAATACAGGCGTGCATTCAGTCACTCCAGGTTATCCAGCTAGTCTAACTATGGATGTTAAGCTAACAAAGGAAATACCAAAATTCCCGAGAAACCCAAAGAGACTAAAAATTACAATGCTTACATTGGCAGCAATTGGTAAATGAATATTTACCCTCAGTAATGCAGTCTGTATTGTGGTGAGTGCTAGAGTCTGACTGGGATTTTTCAGACATGCCAAAATGTACTAGATACATGTGTAACTGATTATTAATATTTTTTCCAATGCCTTTGGCAAAAAACAAAATTTGAAAACTGATGAAAATTTGAAAGCTCCCCTACTGTCAAAAATGCTTGCTCCACTTGCCAGAGCAGGCAAGAATAGGATGTAAAGAACATGTTGTGTTTCTGTACCACTTAGTAATATCTGGCACAGATACTTGAGAAAAAGTCCCATGTCAATGAGAGGTTTGGCTGGCTAAGGAGTACAGAATCTGAGTTTAAGAATATTTGAGACACTCCAATCTCACCACACATAAATTCACACAATTTACAAGGTTTAGTTATAACCACCCTACACAAAAATAGTATTACACTTTTTAAATGGCAAACTAAATAGTAAAATGTATTATTATTATTGTTTCCAGTAGCACCGACAACATGCTGGGCACTTTATAAACACTGAACAAAGGATATTAATTCTATTAAAATTTAAAGCACTGTAAAATGTTTTGTTTAGCGATTAGTCTGAATTTATACCGCATATTCAAACTCAGGTTCTGAATTCTCTGGATCTGATCTCTGTACTGTGTCAAAACAAAATCCCAGATCCACACACTCCCAAATTAGGTGGTTTTAAATCCAGACTTCGGTTCAATCAGAACTTTCCCAGATTTTGTAGTGTTTGGATTTGGTCCATTATTATGGAGGTGACTAAGCAACTCCATAGGTAAGGTTGCATTGAGATTTGCACTTTGAGCAGGACTAGAAGGGGAGAAGGACAAGAGGGCTGAGTTGGGGGGGGAGGGGAATTTGTTTTTAAAGTTAAACACAATAAACAACCATGTAAGTGTTAAGCTGACAGCCTAGCATTACCCTGATCACTTTATTTGTATATTCACCAGATTTTGACTTTGTAAGAATCTTCACTCTTTGGGTCCAGAACTGTGTCTTCAACTGTGTATGGAAAGCACCTGTCACATTTTAGACAGCACCACAAGCTAAATAAGAAATCTGAGCACACTTGCTTTCAAAGAGTAACAAATACAAATGAGAGTGACATCAATGGAAATATGTGACTAGAGATTAATAACATAAGGGTTTACAACAGCAGGCTCTGTTAGATCCTCAGTAATCTAATTGTTGACTGTCTTTAAACTTGTTATGGTTCATAGATTGTTCTCTCACTATAATCTATAAAATTGTTCCCATTTATTTTTCCACCACCAGTGTTTATATAAGTTGGGTTTATAATTACCTGATGCTTCTTGTACAAAAACACAAAACTAGCCTATTAAGAAATAAAATAATGAGTTGTTCTTAGCAAGGCCAGAGCTTTGGATTTATAAGGTGGAGCATTTCAATGTATTTTCTTTTCAAACAAACTTAGTAGGACTAGAGGTATTACCTGTGCCCCCTAGTGGATGATATAAATGATAGCTCATTAGACTGTGATAACATTGATAACATTTCACAGAATACTGATATACTTCATCAGTAACACCAGTGATGTAACTACAATGGTGCAAGTGGAGCAGCCCAGGGCCCATGAGATTATTGAGATCCAACCAGAGGGGCTTCTGGGGAAGAGCAGGGCCTGCTAGGGCAAAAGGGGGAAGTGTGCTGGGGGATGCATGGGGGCATGTGGGGTCCCTGGAGACAGAAGACACAGCCCTCCCCCAAGAGACAGAATGCAAGGAAAAGCATCAACCATTTTGCATGGAGCAGGAGAGAGGGACAGCTGGGGTAGCTTGATCAAAGCTGCAGGGAGAGGAGTTGGAACAGAACTGGGTGGAGCTGGGGGCTGGATCGGTGCTGTTGAGGTGGGGGAATGGGGTGGAGCGGAATTCAGGAGACCTGGATCAGGACTGGGGGGATGGGGGTGGGGAAGGTTGGAGATGAGCAGAAGGGGACCGAGGGGAGGAGCTGGGGGAAGGTTTGTGAGAGCCTGAAATGGGGCTAGTGGGGTAGACCAGGATGGGAGGAAGAAGGGGAGCTAAAAGAGCCTGGAGGGGAGATTGGATTAAGGCTGGGGAGCTGAGGGCTGGACTGGAGGCTGAAGGAAGGTTTGAAGGAGAGCTGGGAGGGGTGGATCAGAACTGGAAAGGAGAAAACAGTAGCTAGGAGGGAGCTGGGGGATGAGAGAGCTAGACTGGGGCTATGGGAGAATTGGGCAGGAGCTGGGGGGGCAGCGGGGCAGGACTGGGGCTGTGACGGGAACTGGAGTGGAGCTAGGCAGGAGCCAGGGGACAGGGTAGCTGTACTGGGGCTGTGGAGGAGCTGGAGGGGGACAGATTTCAGAATTGGAAAAGGGCCCCTCTAACCTATTCTTGTACCAGGGCCCAGTTACACCACTGCATAGTGTGACAGATATGGCCATTTCCTGCAATATCTGTGAGAGATCCTACTGGATTGCATTTAAATAGCTGTGGAGTCCGTTGTATTAAAAATGCAAAATGTATATATTATTGTGTGATTGTATGTAACTTCTCCAGCAGGGAGACATGGCCAGTGTAAACCCTGGGGAAGTGTTATGAGCTTCAAAGGACTATTTTAAACAATGTGCCAGACAAGAAGGAACTTTTGAGATAGGCACAGTAGAGTGGGTTTCCTAAGAAATACCTGGGGGGAGGTAAATGCAAATTCCCACCTCCAGACCCAACCCTTTGAAGCTATGCCCTGAGTAGAAAACCATTGTCTGGCTACCTGTTCACAATCTCTATCAAAATCCCCAGCTGTAAAAAGGAAAGGCCAATCTATGATGGTGGGTTCTTGTTCTGAGCAAAAGCTGTTATGAACTTATGGCCATAGACAAATCCCTTGGTGTTGTTTGAAGTACAGAATTCTACCAGAGCCATTGTTGGAGTTGGGGTGAACTCTGGTAAATTTATTAGCATGTTTGTAGGTTCTGGTATTGTTTTAAATGTTTTTTCTGTAATTCTTTCACCTTAAGAATAAATATGCTTGCTTAGAAAGGGCTGCATGTTAACTTATAACTGTGGGCAAGTATGCTGTTTTTAGCCACTGAGGAGAAAGCAAAGCAGGCCTGCTTAGGCCATTCTGACTTGCTGCAGAATTCAGAATATAGGAAGGGACCTGTGTAGCCTTGAAATACCCTGGTCAGGAGGTCTCCACCCAAGAGAGGTGATGACTGAGAAGCTGGAGCCTTGAGTGAGTTTCTTGCTGTACCATGAGGGGGAAATACAGGTGCAGTTGCCCTGAACGGTGACACGTAGGACTGCCAATGCATTGATGGTTATCTGAATATCAATAAACTATTCTTTACAACTGGAAAGCAGATGACAAAGCTGACATTCTCTGAAAAAAGCAATAGAGGGTCCTGTGGCACCTTTAAGACTAACAGAAGTATTGGGAGCATAAGCTTTCGTGGGTAAGAACCTCACTTCTTCAGATGCAAGTAATGGAAATCTCCAGAGGCAGGTATAAATCAGTATGGAGATAACGAGGTTAGTTCAATCAGGGAGGATGAGGTGCTCTGCTAGCAGTTGAGGTGTGAACACCAAGGGAGGAGAAACTGCTTCTGTAGTTGGATAGCCATTCACAGTCTTTGTTTAATCCTGATCTGATGGTGTCAAATTTGCAAATGAACTAGAGCTCAGCAGTTTCTCTTTGAAGTCTGGTCCTGAAGTTTTTTTGCTGTAAGATGGCTACCTTTACATCTGCTATTGTGTGGCCAGGGAGGTTGAAGTGTTCTCCTACAGGTTTTTGTATATTGCCATTCCTAATATCTGACTTGTGTCCATTTATCCTCTTGCGTAGTGACTGTCCAGTTTGGCCAATGTACATAGCAGAGGGGCATTGCTGGCATATGATGGCATATATAACATTGGTGGATGTGCAGGTGAATGAGCTGGTGATGTTGTAGCTGATCTGGTTAGGTCCTGTGATGGTGTTGCTGGTGTAGATATGTGGGCAGAGTTGGCATCAAGGTTTGTTGCATGGGTTGGTTCCTGAGTTAGAGTTGTTATGGTGCAGTGCGTGGTTGCTGGTGAGAATATGCTTAAGGTTGGCAGGTTGTCTGTGGGCGAGGACTGGCCTGACTCCCAAGGTCTGTGAGAGTGAGGGATCATTGTCCAGGATGGGTTGTAGATCACTGATGATGCGTTGGAGAGGTTTAAGCTGAGGACTGTAGGTGGGCAGAATTTGGGCTAATAGCATTTTTTCCCCCTTTTAATTCAATCCCTGGTAATATGTGGGTTTGTTTGAAAATGTAGGGACTATATTTTATTTGATACAAAACTAACTTGCAGTTTTTGTTTTTCCTTTACCATTTTTCATTCATAAAGATAACAAAGTTTTTAAACATGTATTTTTCATTTCTAGGGTCACAGTAACTGCAATGTGCAACATGGATTTCAGTCGCTTCCCCCTGGACACACAGACGTGTTCACTGGAAATTGAAAGTTGTAAGTAAACAGGATACATATGTAGGCCAATATTTTCAAATATGGGAACCTAAAATTAGGCTCCTAAATTTATGTAAGACACCTAAGTAAGTGGCCTGTTTTTCAGAAGTGCAGAGCAACCTGCAAGTCCGACCAAAGTCTACAAACTGAAAACAACTAGGAAAGCTTTTTCTCCACTCTCTTTCAGTTACAATAATCGTAGGTGTGGTTTATCTCAGTTAATCCCACTGCACTGTACTACTCAACAAATAAATGAATGTACTTAATATGCGTCACAAATTTATCCAGAGTATAAACTAAAGATACATCCAAACTAGCATCCCCATGGAGCTCCTTTTTCTAAATCTGACCTATCTTTGAATGTCCTGGCTTTCATACATATATACAACTCTACCCCAATATAACGCGACCCAGTATAACATGAATTCGAATATAACGCGGTAAAGCAGTGCTCCGGGGGGCGGGCGCACTCTGGCGGATCAAAGCAAGTTCGATATAACACGGTTTCATCTATAATGCGGTAAGATGTTTTAGCTCCCGAGGACAGCGTTATATCAGGGTAGAGGTGTATTTTTAAACAACTATAGTCTATTGACGTACTTTTCCCCTTGGATTGTTAAGAAGCATTTGCAATCTTAATGCTGCTTTAACGATTGTTTTTGGGGTTGGGGTGGGGTTTTGTTTGTTTGTCTTTTTTCTGGGAATAACTAACCCTGATATAAAACCCAAGACTAAACAACTAAATCTAATTGGAATACAAGGAAAGAGGTGATTATTATGTCCTACAGCAGTCACCATAACTCTCTGCAAGATGCAGGGCTAAGGCATCTTGAAATCCAAGTTACCACTTTTTTCACCCAAGCAACTAGTCAAATTTTGGGACCTTGAGGATGTTCCAGTTGAGAGTAGAAATGGATGGAGGCTGGTATTTTATTTGATGCAGTCTTGTTTATTTACAAGATGTATACAAGTCCTGCTCCTCTGAACACAGGAGGAACCAAAACAAGGGAATAGCTTCTTTGTTTCCAGCCCCAACCCTCTTTAGCCAACCCTAGACCCAAAAGCCCTTTCTAGGGATCCTCTAGGGTCACATCATGTTTGAAGACTCCTGCTTGGCTTTCTTGCTCTGCCTCAGTCTCAGTTTCTTGTCTGCCCTCTCAGCTACCTTTTCACATCCACAGACTCACTCACCTACCTGGTCAGAAGAGGAGGGAACCCTCTGCCCCCCTGTTGCTAGTGTGTGGTCAGACTCTATTAGGCCTTAAGTGTTTCTTACAACCATTTTAAATGAAGGGTGCATTCACACAGCAGTTTCAACAAGGTTTTAACTCCACTCATAACAAGGCTTAAACCAACTCATAACAATAACCAGAATGATCCTTTATCATAATTAGGGCTCCGTGTTTGTCATGGAGGTTGTGGAAGTCACAGATTCCATGACTTTCCGCGACCTCCGTGACTTCTGTGGTGGCCAGTGTGGCTGACCCAAGGGCTGCCCAAGCAGTTGGCTCCAGAGCCAGCTGCTCAGGTGGCCCAGCAGCCAGCCACACCAACCGCTGCTGGAACGGCCCCAGGACCAGCCTCACCAGCTACTGCTCCAGCAGTCCTGGGCGGCTGGCCCTGGTGACCACCTGAGCAGCAGCTGGTGCAGTTGGCCCCAGGGACTGCCTGAGCAGCAGTCCCCGGGCGGCTGGAGCAACCCCCCGGGACATTCAGTCTCACAACAGTGGACCCCAGCTACCCCTCTTCCCAGATTCACCCCCCCCCAGTAATGCCCCCCCCCCCCCCAAGATTCAGTCAGGGGTATTTATAGTATAAGTCATGGACAGGTCACCAGCCATGAATTTTTGTTTATCGCTCCATGATTTTTACTAAAAATACCCATAATTAAATTGTAGCCCTAACCATAATCACATGCACAATCATCCATGACCATCACTAATACTGGACTAAACTGGCAGAAAATTTGCTGTTTCCCCCAAAGCTTTTGTACCTACCTTTGAAGACATATTGACACATTCTGAACTGTAGAGTCGATACTATTTGGTATAATTGCACTGCACCAAAGATTTACTCCTATTTTCCTAGATGCCTACACTGAAGATGATCTAATGCTGTACTGGAAGAATGGGAATGATTCCCTAAAAACGGATGAGAGGATATCGCTATCCCAGTTCCTTATACAGGAGTTTCACACCACCACAAAGCTTGCCTTTTACAGCAGTACAGGTAAGTGATTTTTACTAAAGTTATGAAATTATGATAGATTTTTGCTTTCTCCCCTCCCTCCCCAATCAGATGAGATCAACTTTACCTCTCCCTTACGAGATGGACTGGTATGTGGCTTCCTCTGGGGCCCATAAAAATTCCCTTCAATTGGTCACAAAGGACTCACTAGCAAATGGTCTAAGGCATTCCCTTTCCTACAAGGGCTGAAGCATAGGCAAAGTTCATGCAGAATTGCAAACTAGGACTTAATTATTTGTTCATCACTGTGAGGGGGTGTACCAGGGCCATGGTCCTACCACACCCTGCCCCAGGAAAGGGAGCAGAAGAGGTGAGTTCTGCAGGCTGCCTAAAGAGGCTGCAGGGAACAGCCCATCGGAGACCAGCAGGCTCTGCCTCAGTGACCTGAGTGATTCCCTTCTGTATGCCTACACTCTTCACGGGGTGGATCTGCTGCACTGTGATAGTCGTCACTGTTTCTGGTGTCAGCTCTGGTGCCTCTAGCAATAGGGATTTGCACCATCAGACATTCTCTTCTCATCTGGCTAATCCTTGGGATCCCTGCCTTTCCTCTTGCAGCAAAACCTTTTTATGTGGCCCACCTCTCCACAATCAAAGCAATTAAGCCTTGCCCTTCCTCCCTCATTCACCCCAGGGCAAGCCCCATCTTAAATGCCCATAACATCTCCGCGGCTGGGCTTCAGGCCTCCAGCCTGGTAAACCAACTGGGTGTGATACGGCTCAAGCATCTCTGTATCCACACCTGCTATTTGGAGTGGGTCTCTTGCCATTGATATTGTGCTGCAAACTGAGTGTTCTGCTGGTTCTCCAACAGCTGCATCAGCAGGGCCTGGGTCCGCTGCTTCTGCGGCATAGTGCTACCTGCTGCTGCTATCCTGCCACTAGCAGGCGGATCACCTCTTCCATTGTAGTACCCCTTGTTTTCAGGGGTCAGGCCAAAAGGATCCCACTCTGGTACCACTTGTGATGGGGCCCACTCACCTCACATGAACTCCTACTATCGTGTGTGTGTGCCTGCACTCTCTCTCTCGCTGCACCTGGCAGTTAACTTCTCTGGCAGGTTTCCAGTGACTCAGCCATCCGTCCAAGTCACACACAGTCATGTGTGAAACAAACACACAAAACAGACCCCTTCTGGGGTACGTGATCCAATACGGCCTACCTCAGTGCCCTCAGTACAGTCTTTGTAGCCCTATCCCTGGGCTCGAGCCTCAATCAGTCCAACAGAGCCTATCACAGCGCCCTCTGCTGGTGTCAGCCTGCAGTCCCGTCCCTGGGTTCAATCCTCTATCAGGCCATCAAGGCCTATTGCAGTACCTTGGTTATAGCCCCGCCTGGGTTAGCCTTCAAACTTTCTTTCACGCCTTCTGGGCTCTCTCTCAAATTGTCCCTGCTCTGGTATGGAGAAGTGCCCCCAGGGCTTCCTCCCTGGAGATTCTTCATAAGCCACTTCCCTAGTGGCTGGTGGGGGGGACTCAGGCCTGCCCAGTACGCCAGGTCCTGACCCAGGGACTCTATAATGCTGCCTGCTGCATCCCTTTATTAATTGCTGCATTTTCCTGGGCCACTTCCCCACGGCCCCAGTACCTTCATCCTTATCTCAGGGCTGAAGTTTTTCTTGAGTCCATGCAACCAGCCAGGAGCACCTTCCTTGCTCCCTGGTCCCTGCCAGCAACTGCTGTGTCCAGGTACTGCAATTCCTGCACCTAGCCAGGAGCACCATCCTTGGAGCCTGGCTCCAGACAGCACAGATCTGTCCAGCCCTCCAGCTCCTGCAGCCAGCCAGGAGCACCCTCTTTGGTCCTCTGGCTCCAGCCAGCAACTGAACTGCTTTGTCCAGAAGCTCCTTTTTATATGAGGCTTGTGGTCTCTGATTGGCTGCTCCCTGCAGCTCTCTAGGCAGCCTTGAGGATTCACCTCTTCTGCTCCCTTTCCTGGGGCAAGATGTGGTAGGACTGCAGGGCCTGGTACACCCTGCCACAATCACACTTCTCCCTTTGTGCAGTGCTGTGTAATGGTACATTTGTAGTGTTATATAAAGAATAATAATCCCTGTATGGAAGCATTACAGCTGGACCTCACAGTAATTGGGAATGTCCTTGACTGAAGTGTGGGAAGATTTGCAGATGCAAAGCTAATTGGCAATTTTAAATTTATATCCACATAGTTATCTGGTGCATTTGTTAGAATTATATATACAATGAAGGTTCCGATCCTATAAGCCCTCTCTGCATAGAACTCCCATTATTCCAATCAGAACTGACTGCAACAGGAATTCCTTGCCCAGGGGGCTTTCAAGAACAGGTGTGATATTTGCTCTAAAGGTCCAGTCCTGTGAGGTGATGAGACTTCAAGAATATGAATGGTTTGATTAAGATCCACTCTGCTCTTAAATGGAGATGAACCTGTAGTGGTCACTTGTAGTATTTTTCTTATAAGAAAGTATAGCACTGTTCCACTGTGGATGTTGAAATGATCTCAAAATGTCCTATATTGTATTTGTGGATGGTTTTCCTTTGGTGTTAGTTATCCTTTTTTCCTTTTCTCTGTGGTACAGGGTGGTACAATCGCCTGTACATTAACTTCACTTTACGCCGCCACATCTTCTTCTTCTTGCTGCAAACCTATTTCCCTGCCACTTTGATGGTCATGTTGTCCTGGGTGTCTTTCTGGATTGATCGCAGAGCTGTACCTGCCAGGGTCCCTTTAGGTAAAAATAATCTTGTAATCGGCACACCTGAATGACCATACACTAGCAAAGACCTACTTATTGAGACAATCTCATCAGCATCAACCCCCGGTCTCTGATATATGCCATACCACATTGTCACATAGCTTAGAATTCAGCCACTGAATTAATCTACTGCTCTTGCTCACACTTACACATGTAGGTTAGGATAGGCTGACCCCATTCATCTCTTCTTTATTACCCTAACAACACTTTAACTGTATTAGTCAGTATCACAAATGATAGATGCACCTCAAAAACATAGTGAAGAACAAACACAGCATTCATTTTCTCATTCTGTTATTATATAATTATAATTAGGGCGGTCAAGTGACTAAAAAAATTAATTGTAATTAATTGTGCTGTTTAACAATAGAATATCATTTATTTAAATATTCTGGATGTTTTCTATATTTTCAAATATCTTGATTTCAATTACAACATAGAATACAAAGATTACAGTGCTCACTTTATATTTATTTTTATTACAAATATTTGCACTGTAAAAAACAAAAGAAATAGTATTTTTCAATTCACTTAATACAAGTACTGTAATGCAATCTCTTTATCATGAAAGTGGAACTTACAAATGTAGAATTATGTACCAAAAAACCCTGCATTCAAAAGTAAAACAATGTAAAACTTTAGAGCTTACAAGTCCAATCATTCCTACTTCTTGTTCAGCCAATCGCTCAGAAAAACAAGTTTGTTTACATTTGCAGAAGATAAATGTACCTTGACTTTAGCAAAGTTTTTGATACTGTCCAGTATGGATTGGATGAATGGACTATAAGGTGGATATAGGATGGAAGGTGGACTTAGGATGGAAGAATCCCATGCACTGCTACAGGCTGGGGACCGAATGGCTAAGTGGCAGTTCTGCAGAAAAGGACCTGGGGGTTACAGTGGATGAGAAGCTGAATGAGTCAACAATGTGCCTTTGTTGCCAAGAAGGCTAACGGCATACTGGGCTGCATTAGTAGGAGCATTGCCAGCAGATCAAGGGAAGTGATTATTCCCTTCTATTCGGCACTAGTGAGGCCACATCTGGAGTATTGCGTCCAGTTTTGGGCCCACCACTACAGAAAGAATGTGAACAAATTGGAGACAGTCCAACAGACGGCAACGAAAATGATTAGGAGGCTGGGGCAAATGACTTATGAGGAGAGGCTGAGGAAACTGGGCTTATTTCATCTGCAAAAGAGAAGAGTGAGGGGGGATTTGATAGCAGCCTTCAATTACCTGAAGGGGGATTCCAAAGAGGATGGAGCTTGGCTGTTCTCAGTGGTGGCAGATGACAGAACAAGGAACAATGGTCTCAAGTTGCAGTGGGGGGAGGTCTAGGTTGGATATTAGGAAAAACTATTTCACTAGGAGTGTGGTGAAGTACTGGAATGGGTTACCTAGGGAGGTGGTGGAATCTCCATCCTTAGAGGTTTTAAAGGTCAGGCTTGACAAAGCCCTGGCTGAGATGATTTAGTTGGGGTTGGTCCTGCTTTGAGCAGGGGGTTAGACTAGATCACCTCCTGAGGTCTCTTCCAACCCTAATCTTCTATGATTCTATGAAGATAATGCTGCCTGATTCTTGTTTACAATGTCACCTGAAAGTGAAAACAGGTGTTTGCATGGCACTGTTGTAGCCAGCATCACAAGATATTTACATGCCAGATGTGCTAAAGATTCATGTCTCTTAATGCTTCAACCACCATTCCAGAGGACATGTGTCCATGTTGATGACGGGTTCTGCTCGATAACAATCCAAAGCAGTGCAGACCAACGCATGTTCATTTTCATCATCTGAGTCAGATGCCACCAGCAGAAGGTTGTTTTTCTTTTTTGGTGGTTTGGGTTCTGTAGTTTCCACACCAGAGTGTGGCTCTTTTAAGACTTCTGAAAGTGTGCTCCACACCTCAACCCGCTCAGATTTTAGAAGGCACTTCAGATTCTTAAATCTTGGCCCTGTGCTGTAGCTATCTGTAGAAATTTCACTTTGGTATCTTCTTTGCATTTTGTCAAATTTGCAGTGAAACTGTTCTTAAAACGAACAACGTGCTGGATCATCATCTGAGACTGCTATAACATGAAATCTATGGCAGAATGAGGGTAAAACAGAGCAGGAGACATACAATTCTCCCCCAAGGAGTTCAGTTACAAATGTAATTAACGCATTATTTTTTTAACAAGTGTCATCAGCATGGAAGCATGTCCTCTGGAATGATGGCCAAAGCATGAATCTTTAGCGCATCTGACACATAAATACCTTGTGACACTCTGTGTCTCAGGGGAACACTCCCGGCACCCCCATGTTCATCCTTATAATATGATTGTGTAGTATCCAATGCAAAGTTTGTTATGTTGGGTGTCTTTGGAAAGCTCATGATGCACTGAGCATTATTATAGTAATGTTATAGGTTGTAATTTCACGTATATAGTTATGAGGCTGAAAATGTGTCTTGATGGCTTAAAACAAGCCCAGGCAAAACTCTCCAAAAACAGAGGGGCAGTTCATCAAGGCATGTGTGGGACAAACCCAGCCCAGCCTTACAGGAACCAAGGACACCGGCCTAGGCAGCAACAAAGGATCTGTTGGACTCTCGAGTGAGTCATCTACCCTCCATTGGACAGTTTGGGACTACAATGAGGTAATGCTCACCTGACCCTTGAGGGGGGAGGCAAAGCCAAGAGGGATGAAAGAACATGATAAAAGGGAGAGACGTTTGCCATGCTCTTCCTCTCTCTTCCACCTCCATCTACAGATATCACCTCCAAATGACTGAAGAGCCGATCAAAGGTTGAAGTGCAACCATCAATCCTGTGGTGAGAAGCATCTAAGTTTGTAAGGGCACTGAAAGTGTTAAGATCAGCTTAGAATGCGTTTTGCTTTTATTTCATTTGACGAAATCTGTCTTGTTATGCTTTGACTTATAATCACTTAAAATCTATCATTTGTAGTTAATAAATTTGTTTGTTTATTTTACCTGAAGCAGTGCATTTGGTTTGAAACGTGTCAGAGGCTCCCCTTGGGATAACAAGCCTGGTACATATCAATTTCTTTGCTAAATTGACAAACTCATATAAGCTTGCAGTGTCCTGTGGGCATAATTGGACACTGCAAGACGGAGATTCCTAGGGTTGTGTCTGGGACCGGAGGTATTGGCTAGTGTCATTCAGTTGCATAATCCAAGGAGCAGCTTACATGCCAGAAGCTGTGGCATGAACGGCCAGGGAGTGGGGGTTCTCACAGCAGAGCAGGGTAAGGCTGGCTCCCACAGTCAAGGATTGGAGTGACCTAGCCGATCACGGGTCCAGATAACACCAGGGGAATGTCACAACCAGTTACAACAGTGCCATGTGAATGCCTGTTCTCCCTTTCAGGTGACATTGTAATTAAGAAGTGGGCAGCATTATCTGCCAAAATGTAAACAAACTTGTTTCTCTTAGCGATTGACTGAACAAGAAATAGGTCTGAGTAGACTTGTAGGCTCTAAAGTTTTACATTGTTTTGTTTTTGAGTGCACTTATGTAACAAAAAAAACTACATTTGTAAGTTGCATTTTCATTATAAAGAGATTGCACTACAGTACTTGTATGAGGTGAATTGAAAAATACTATTTCTTTATCATTTTTACAGTGCAAATATTTGTAATAAAAGAGAATACCAAGTGAGCACTGTACACTTTGTATTCTGTGTTGTAATTGAAATTGATATATTTGAAAATGTAGAAAAAAATCCTAAAATATTTAATAAATTTCAATTGGTATTCTATTGTTTAAAAGTGCAATTAATCATGACTAATGTTTTTAATTGCGATTAATTTTTTTTAGTTTACTGTGATTAATTGACAGCCCTAATTATAATACATAGCAAGTACAGAGCATTTTCCATCCATAGGTCTCAAATCACTTTACAAATTCTAGCAGAAAAAGGGTTGAAAACCAGCATCAGCAACTCTCTGTTCAATCTTGCAACATTTTTCTTTACAATAAAATTAACTATTGTTGGAATTAAAATATTAGGTGATATTTTCAAAGAAGTCTATGGGATTTAGCTCTCAGTTCTGTAATGAACTACATGCAGGCAGACCCCTTGGCTTACTTTGTAAGATTGGGATCTTAGACACATCCCTTCCTTTAAAATTAATGTTCTAAATATCTTATCCTTAATCATTATTAACATATCTCACAGACTTTGAGTCCAATCCCACTCCCACTGATTTCAACTTGAACCAGGATCAGGGCCTTATTTATTGCAAATTAACCTGCTTAATGGAGAGAATATGTATAGACATACAACAGATATGAATGGAACATATGTATTCATGTTTTAATTACAAAATGGTTCACATTTATATCAAGGCAGTGACATCAAAAGCTTAGAAACCTAGTTGAGAGTTACAGCAATAGAAAGTAAAAACATAGTGCTTATGTAGAGCTTTTCATTTTCAAAGCGGTTTACTAACATTAAGTAATTAATCCTGCTAACAGCCCTGCTTGTGAGGGAGGTATATAGGATTATCCCTATTTTACAAATGGCAAACAATAGCAGGAGGCAACTTAATTACAGCCAGATTCTCATGCTCTGGCATGTTGAGTAGTACCTTCATCCATGAGACATCCTGCTAGAATCAGTGGGATTTCTCACAGAATAATGTACTATTCAGCCTGAATAAAGCTATCAGACTCTGGCCCTTAACCTCTCTGCCTCCAAGGGAGCTCACTTCTGGTACATTCTTGGGGAGTTGCTGAGCTGGGTACTATGACATTTGGTCTTCTGCTACTCCTTCTTGAGGGATTTAATTTTCTCTTGACATTGAGGTCCTTTTTGGTAGATCTCTTCCTCAGCTAGCTTCTTGGAGATGACATCATAGAACTGTAGATTTTGTGTCCTGCCTCCCAAATCATGGCTTGCTGTCCTCACACCAGAGATCCACCAAATCCCTGGTGTCGGTCTCTGGTCAGCTGGCAGGATGGTGGGAATATGATCTCCCTGGCACCAGCTCTTCTGTTCATATGCTGTAGAAGCACAATAGAAATGCTGCAGGTATAGCAAGCCACGTGCAATATGAGGCTCAAATGTATACCAATGTATATGAGCTGGTAGGTGACTCCCAGTGCAGAAGCAGGGAGTAGGCAGATGGCACAAAAACCCAGGCTAGGGGGAATTGTGGAAAGGCACTGGAAAATTAACAGTGCCCGAGTTGCTTAGCCTGCATCCACACTGCAGAGTGCTCATGTTAGAAGCTTGAGGGTTGGCAGCAGTCAAGTGTTAGCCTTTATTCCCATTAACTGCCTCCCGTGTAAAGCACCCCAGCATCTGGACGAGAGGTTTTTGTGTGGATGGAAGTTCGGGTTAGGGACAGCACTCAAATAAGAACACACAGTTAACTTTGTACTGAAGACAACCCCTTAGTATGAGAATCAGAGTTAGAAATCAGGGATTTCTGGATCCCACTAAGCCACCTCTGAAACTGAAAAAAGACATTTTAAAGATAAACTAGAACTTCAGAAATAGGACCTCATGTTTGCAGTAAAGAACACAGTTTGAATTGTCTTCACTGTTTATGTCTGAATGGATGATGGTGTGTTCCCAGGAATAACTACGGTACTGACCATGTCTACAATCATTACTGGTGTAAACGCCTCCATGCCTCGAGTTTCCTACATCAAAGCTGTGGACATTTACCTCTGGGTCAGTTTTGTGTTCGTCTTTCTCTCAGTATTGGAATATGCAGCAGTGAACTACCTGACAACGGTGCAAGAGCGGAAAGAGAGGAAACTGCGAGACAAAGTGAGTTTATATGTCCAGTGCTGTTGTATGTAATTGTAATAGATGTTTGAATGGGCTGATCATGCTTCAAAAGTCGGCATCCACAATGTGAAAAATCTAAGCTTCCTTAGAAGAATAGAGCGTGTACAAAAAGTGTCAGTACAGTGTTCCTTGTTAGACAGTTTAAAGGTTAGCTAATGTTATCTGGAACCCTATCCCACTGAAGTTTCTTCAGCATGTAAAGTCAACCGGACAAAATCCTTATTCATATTGTAATGTGACTTTTTGGTATCTTTTCTTTTAAATTCTCTCTTTTTGTAGTTAAGAGACTAACTTGCAAATAGCACCAGATAGAAATAGTATTGTGAATGGAGTGGGTGTTCAGATAACAAGGAAGATTCAAACACATCTTAGGCTCTGTTTACAATGTGCCATTAAAAATGGGCATCCTCTCAGGAATATTTGTAATTGTAAAGAAGTGGAGTTCCCACCCTTCTCCAGAAACAGTCTAGACTGCGATGATTCAAATTTATGCCTTTGCCTTTGCTGTTATGTTTAACAACAACAAAATCCTGCACCTATGCTTTCCTCTTGAGCTTCGCTTTTCCTAAGGTTTTCTCCCTGCAAGTTCCTTCTCTCCTTCCCCATAGTTCCCTCTGCTTCAAGGAGAGACTCCAGCCCTCTTTATAACCTGGAGTGGAGCTAACAGGACCTATCAATTTTGCTTTCTCATGCTAGGAATCTCTGCACCTTTACACAGGGTTCTAACTAGAGCTGGTTGAAAATATTCCACTGAAACATTGTTCCGTTGGAAAATGCCGATTCATCAAAATCAAAAATTCTGTGGCAACATGTTGATTTCGACAAAATTTTGCTTAGAAAAAAACTAACCAAAGGATTTCAATAAGGCTTCAATCCTATCAGAACGAAGTGTCTCAATTTTTTGTTTTGCAACAACTTGTCTTGTAGAAACGTATATTATTATAAAGTATAACATTTTAAAAAAGAATAGATGAAACAACACAAAAAGTTTGTTTTGCAGGTAATTCAGAATGAAAGCAAATTTCAAAATAGCAGAATTTCCTGAGAAACAGAAATTGCGGTTCGTGCACAGCCCTAGTTGTAATACATGATATTTGGCTGATTCAGCAGAAGAGCCCATCTTCTTCTGTAGGGTCCTAGAGCTTACCACGCTCTTCCAGCATGGACAATCCTTCACAATTTTTATAGTAACCTGACAAATAAAATCCCATCCTTTGTTGTCATATAAGAGTATGAAAGATGGTAAATACTACAAATTATACAACGTGAAGCCCAGTGATCGGGGCTACAAAGGTAAAATGGGCTCCATCCAGCTGGATCCAGGGACAGCCCTGCTTTCCCTCACCCCTGACAGCATGATTCCCTCTTTCACGCTCTTTGCAGCATCTACACCAAGGGAAGAAAAGGTCCCCAGGAAGGGCATGCTACAGAGGGAGCTGTTGCCCAACTCCATTGCTACTGCTCTCTCTTCCTCTTCCCCCAGCAGCCTGGTTTCCACCAGGATTTGCTCCCTCTGCCTATGTAAGGAGAGGAGGAGCATCAGGACCAGATAGTTCCAAATACCTATCTCATATAACTACACTCAACCTTATTCACAGCTTCCTTGTACTTGCGGACTACCTCAGCCCCGGACCATGATGATGGACGGCAGCTACAGCGATGGGGATGTGAATGAACTGGGACACTATGTGTCTGAGAATGGAGATAAACAAGACAGAATGATGATGCAGCTGACACTTGGTTCTGAAAGGAGTTCAAGCAGGAGGAAAAGCCAGAGATACGTCAGCATGCGGATCGACACCCATGCCATTGACAAGTATTCCAGAATAATATTCCCAGGCTCATACATTTTATTTAATTTGATATACTGGTCCATTTTTTCATAAATATCAGTTATTTCTCTAGTCAGTTTCCGCATGTCGCACTGTGTTACTGTTTAAAATTAACATCTATCATGCTAATAAACAGAAAATGGAGGAAACACTTAATTTTAGTGCTACTTGACTGATCAGAATTTTGATACATTGATTATATAAAATCCATCTGTTGTAAAAGATCTTTATACACACTTCAGCTTTGAACTAAAAACTAGGATCCATTGCGTAACTTTTTATACTAATTTTAAGCTGTACTATGTTCCTTCTTGTGCCTCATGGGCCACTCTAATTTGTTTTAATAGATGGCAAGAATAATCATCAACTGCTCATATAGGGTACATCACTCATTTTATGCCTCAGAAACCTTTCCTAGACTAATGTCCTGATCCTGCAAATACTTAAGCATGTGCATAAGTTTCCTGACTTAAGCAGTTCCATTGAGTTCAATGGCAATATAACAAGGAAGGTTACACGTGTACTTATGTTTTCAGGAGAGGTATTACAAGCACTGGAAAATGTATTGATGTTTAAAGCTTTCTTCTCCTGGTTAATGCATGCTTTGGTTGGCACTGTGTTGGAGTAACTGAAAGAGCCAAATACTAATGTTTTGTACAGCACCTGTGCCCCCTCTTGTTCATTCCTGAAAGGAAATGCTTTCAAGCTGCTTTGAATTAACCTGTTCTAAGTGTAACCAACAGTATATATTTACTAAGCAATTCACCCAAACCTTCCTAATTGAAATGAGATTTTTTTTCAACACGAACAAAATACTCTTTAAAAAAAAAAAAGTAACAGGAGGCTTTCAGTGGACCTGTGTAGATCTAGAGAGCAATAAGAGACCGCAGGCATGGCTGCACCTGGTCTGGGTCAGCTGATTCAGGCTCACAGAGCTCAGGCTGTGAGGCTATGACATTGCAGTGTAGATGTTAAGGCTTGGGTTGGAGCCCGGGCGCTGAGACCCCACAAGGGGAAGGTCTCAGAGCCCAGGGCTCCAGCTTGAGCCCAAACAATTATTCTGCAATTTTATAGCCCCGCAGCCCGAGCCCAAGTCAGCTGAACTGGGCCCTGAGACTTGGTCCCACAGGTTTTTTATCGCAGTATAGACATACCCAGAGGGTTTTGCCAATGAATTCACCAGAGGAGGGAACGAGCCTTTCTGCCAATTAAAGAAAAATTGTGACAAACCCTCCTTTTTCAGAGAAACAGACGTACAAAGAGAATGATAAAAGAACAGTTTCCCTCAGAGAGTCTCACTGCAATATCCTGCCATTCCTGGTAAGCAGCATGCATTCTAAACACCAAGAAAAATGTTACACCTGGGCCGAACTCCACCACTGTCTAAATTCCCCTTAGCAATGATTTCGGTGGGAATAGTCTGTTATTTCTACAACCAGAAAAGGATGAGTCTCAAAAGGAAAAACAACAAAGCAATCATAAAGATTTTATATCTGGGACACTGTCTAAGTTACTAAGACTAATGCTCTGAAACTTATCTGCAAAGGAGTTTCCATCATGAAGGGCCAAATCCAGTGAGATACTGAGCACCTCTAGCTAGCTAGGTTTTCATACTACCTATTGCATAGTATCCAAATTCCTCCTGGGATGCACGCTGAAGGTGCTCACCACCTCACAGGATAGGATTGGAGAAGCACTCAATAAGGGGAGTTGAGGGCACTCAGCATCTAGTTAGATCACCCCCTAATTTAGTTAAGTATGGTATTCATGTGACAGAGTGTCTGCAACACATGAACAAAATATGTCAAATCAACCAAATTTCCGTCTTTCACTGGGTTACTGGCCTAATGGAAAAGGAGAAGCAATGGATGCAATGTATCCTGATTTTAGTAAGGCTTTTGACAGAGTCCCACATGTTATTCCCCTAAGCAAACTAGGGATACAGATGAAACTACTATGCAATGAGTGCATAACTGGTTGAAAGACTATACTCAAGAGTAGTTGTCAATTGTTCATTGTCAAACTAAGAGGACATATCTAGTGAGGTCCCTGAGGGGTCTGTCCGGGGTCTGGTACTATTCAACATTTTCATTAATTACATCAATAATGGACTAGACACTAAGCTGGGGGGGATTGCAAGCAGTTTGGATGACAGGATTAGAATTCAAACAGATCTTGGAGAATTGATCTGAAATCAACAAGATAAAATAAAGACAAGTGCACAGTACTACACTTAGGAAAGAAAAAATTAAATGTACAAATACAAAATGGGGAATGGCTGGCTAGGCAATAGTCCTGTTGAAAAGGATCTGAGAGTTATAGTGAATCACAAACTGAATATAAGCCAACAATGTGATGCAGTTGCAAAAAAGGATATCATCATTTTGGAGAGTATGTGAAACATGAGAGTTAACAGTCCCACTCTACTTGGCACTGGTGAGACCTCAGCTGGAGTCTTCTGTCCAATTCTGAGCCCCACACTTTATGAAAGATGTGGACAAATTGGAGAAAGCCCAGAGGAGAACAACAAAAATGAGAAAAGGTTTAGAAAAAACCTGACCTGTGAGGAAGTGTTAAAAGAACTGGGCATATTTAGTCTTGAGAAAAAAAGATTGAAGAGGAAACTTACAACAGTCTTGAAATATGTTAAGGAGTGTTATAAAGATGACAGTGATCAACTGCTCTCCATGTCTACTGAAAATAGCACAAGAAGTAAAGGGTTTAATGTACAGCAAAGGAGAGTTAGGTTAGATATTAGGGGGAAATTTTCTAACTATAAGAATAGTTAAGTACTCCAGTACTTCCAAGGAGGTGGTGGAGTCCCTATCTTTAGAAGTTGTAAGAACAAGTTGTCAAATATCTGTCAGGGATGGTCTAGATATACTTGTTCCTGCCGGGGGGGGGGAGGGGGGAAGGGCTGGACAAGATGACCTCTCAAGGTCCCTTCTAGCCCTACATTTATGTGAGTCTATGACCAGCATGTTCAGGCAGAAAAAGTAACGTCTGTTAAATAGCTTAGGTAAATAATAATATTTGACTCCAACATTTTTTTCTTTCCCCAGTCAAACCTGTGGCCCTTACAAAAATGATAACTCAAGGTTTCTTACAGTTAATTGGTTATATGTTATCTTTAAAAATGTAGGTAGACAAGCAAATGTGGATGGTTAATAGGACTTGAAACATAAACCAACCATAATTGTAAAATAAAAGGTTTATGTGTATGCAGGAAAAATGCTGTTTCATACACTGTAGAACATTCCTGTCTTTTGCACTTGTAGCCACTATCAGGATCATACTGTAGCTATGCTATCGCTGTATGACCAATGGACCTTTTCCTTAATGAAATCTGTTTTGGCCTGGTTGGTTTTGACCTTCTATGCACTATATTAGTTATAGACACAGAAAATGTTTGAACAATGTTACTTGTTTATTTTTATATGTAAATTAAATAACTATTGTAAAATGTTCACAATTTTTGCTGTTTCAGGAAATTGTGAACTGAAAAAATATAAATGGAGCACTACTCTATTGGTATATGGAGCCACAGCATCCAAGTGTAAGGAAAAGAAATTGTATAATGTTAGTCACTAACAGATACATATCTGGTATGTCAGCAGTGATTTTTGTTTAAATTCTACATCAGATTATACACATACATATATTATTTTGCTATATTATCTTAAGAGCTTTCCCAGATAATAAAGACATTACTTTCTTACAAGGACATTGTTTGAACTGAACAAAGGGGAAAATGTTACATTTGAAAGAGCAATTGAAAAGCTAAGGACCAGAATACTGTAGTATCTTACTCCACGAAGAGTCCCATAGATTTCAAGGGTATTACTTGCACAGTAAGGTACTCGGCCCTTCAGTGTTATCAAGAACAATTGTTTCCATTGTTACAACTAGAATACTTAAGTTGACATTTTGTAAGCAGGATTGCAAAACCTTACACTAAAGAATTAAAATATTTGCTGTGTTAATTATTTAAACACATAACCTATAGCTGGTTTGTTTGTTGAACCATTACTTAAATGTTTTAATAGCTCACCAAATAGTAATATACAAATTCTTTGACTTCTGACCACATAATAATAAGGGAGCCTTTCAAGGATACAAATGAGTTAGGTACCCAACTCTCACTGATTTTCATAGGACACCTAACTGCCTTTTTGCCTTTTGAAAATCTCTCCCATCATGGATCTTTACAATTAAATTGTCCAAATCGCAAATCTGAATTTACATTGCTACTTTATTTATATGGTTATATTTTCAGCTCTAGTGCCTTTTTGGTTTGTATTGTATATAAATATATTTCTTTCATGAGAACAGGGTATGTTATATAAAGCCAGTGCTTGATTTTAAGACTCATAATCATAAAAAAGAAAAAAAGTTGCTTTTTGGTTTTCAACCTTCCAGTGTACATTGTTGCATAAGATCATTCATTTTCATAATGGCTACTAGTTGTTTGTTTTTTAATTTATTTCTAGGAAAACTCAAACTCATAATAAAACTTTGCATATGTACAGCATTGTGTGTTTTCTCCCAAAAATTCTAAAACTGTATCTCCCTGAATTTATTAATACGCATAGTATCTTTTCTTCTCAAGGACCTAATCCTGCCAGTGCTGCATGCCCTTAATTCCTATTGACACTAGTGGTTTGAAAGGGCTTAGGACGTCAGAGCCAGGACTGTAATAAGAAGACTGGACTGAAATTATAAGTGAGAAAATGTATTAAGCTTCCATCCTAGATTGTCTAGGTGTCTGTGATAGGGTGTCTGCCCCACAGTGGCAGGGAAATGGTTAATAGAGCCCTAGGGAAGCTGCACAGGAAGCAGCCAATTAGAGAGAGGCTGCGAGGAATGGCCAAACAGGGCCGATCAGGCCTATATAAAAAGAGCCGCAGGGGCAGAGCAGGGTCAGTTACTCCCTGGAGCTCAAGGAGGGCAGACTGACTGCCTGCCTGTCTTGCTGGTGGAGGAAAGTTAGCACCCTAGACAGAGCAGTGCTGGTCAGGAACAGGGGAGGGAGAGGAAGCTCTTGGCTGGCTGCT